ATAATATTATAAAATGGACCTTCATCTATGTTGGATTTTAACTTTATTTATTGGTGTTTAACTAATTATTAACACACTTTACTACAGATTTATTTTCTTGATAATGTGTATGAATTTGAATTATTAAACACACAAATAAACTATAAAAGTGATTTAGTTTTTTAATGAGAATTTATGGTATATACTAAAATGTTATATTAGTAAAAAAAATAAAAAAAATTATAATAGTTAAACTATTTTTCTTTTGTTATTGATACTACACTTTAGTATATTATACTTATTATTCAATTTAAATATATTTTACTATTTCTCTCAGGTCTACAAAAAATGTAAATTGTCTTTAAAGCTCAGTTTGATTTTGAATGACAGTAAGCATACTTCAAAAATGCTAAGGTTACTGACATCAATTGAATTATTTGAAAGCATAAATTTTTACATATAGTATGATTATTTTTTTTCAACATAGATTTAGAATTTTCAGCTTTCTAAATTTGCTTTTTATTGCTGTTTTGTCTAAATACACTGACAGTTTTTCAACAATTAGCGATAATATGATTACTGAATGTCATCGTTCATTTGCCTAATAGCATTATATAATGTTATAAAGCAACCTATTGAACCTATCTATGCTGATATTGGTTTCAAAAAATAATTGTAAGTCAAAGTCTTTTTAATACCCTTATAAAGCCTTGCATCCAAAAACTAAATTGCGCAACAAAATCAATATTTTGTTGCGCAATTTAGATAAAACAAAAAAATAAAAGTGTTCATAACATCATAAACGTTAGCCCAATAAACATCAAAGTTTATGATGTTTATTTAATAAAAAAAATGTTTTTGACATTTTTGTTTATTAAATAAACATAATAAACGTTGGCCCAACGGAATAAACATTTGCATGTTTATTCCGTTGGGCCAACATTTAGCCAATGTTTTTTTTTAGCGTATTATTTTCAATTCTGCAAATCGGTTTTTTTTAAATATCGTACTACATTGGGCCAACATTTAGCCAATGTTTTTTTTTTCGGCGTATTAATGCAAAACAAAATCTTCAAACGTGTAGTTTATAATAGAATATTTGATTACATTACAAAAAATAAATTTTTTAATGCAAATCAATTCGGATTTCAAAAAAAACATTCAAAAGAACATGCCATTATTGAATTAGTCGACTAAATAACTGATGGTTTTGAAAATGATAACTTTACTCTTGGAGTATTTATAGATTTATCCGAGGCATTCGACACCGTTGATCATTCTATTCTGTTTTTTAAAAACTAAAATGGTACGGGGTTTGCAATAATTTATATCATTGGATAAAAAGTTATCAATCTAATAGAAAACAATATGTTCAAAACAAGAAACCTGGAATACTAAATATTCTGTGTGGAGTGCCTCAAGGATCGATCCTAGGACCCCTCTTATTTTTAATTTATGTTAGTGATTTTAATAACGCATCATTAAAGCTAAATGCTATTGTGTTTGCAGACGATACAAATCTATTTTTATCTAACTGCAATATTAATAACCTTTATGCTGACATGAACATTGAATTTAAAAAAAGTAAATGATTGGTTCAGGTCAAATAAACTTTTTTTTAACGTTGAAAAAACATAATATATCTTGTTTCATAAAAAAACACAAGAAGAAAACTTTTCTCTAAAACTACCAAAACTTATCATAAATTATAAACAAATTAAAAAACAAGAAACCATAAAGTTTTTATGAGTTTTTGTGGATGATCATTTATCATGGCTCCCACACATAAAATATTTACAATCAAAAATTAGTTGAACCATTAGTATTATGTATTGAACTCGCCTATACTTAAATTCACATAGTCTAAAGCTTATATACTTCAGCTTAATTCATTGTTACATTTCTTATGCAAATATTACGTGGGCAAGTTGTCCACCAACAAAACTTAAAAAAATTCTTTCCTTACAAAAACATGCCTGTAGAATTATATACAACAAAAAAGGGGGGACCACACTAAACCTTTAATGATGGATATGAAAATGATGAACATATATCAGATAAATATTTTTCAACATCTAAACTTTATGTATAAATATACCAATAATCTAACTCCTGGAATCTTCATAAGAAAATTTAATAAAAATTTAAATGAGAAGTATTTCTTAAGAATAAATCAAAGTAACACATATGAATTACCTAAAAAAGTAAACAAATACACAGAATATAGTATAACTTATAGAGGTCCCAAGCTATGGAACTCTTTTCTGAAAGACAATTTAAATATGGCAAAATCTTTAAATTTATTTCAGTTTCAAACAAACTTACGTTCTAAATCTTACGGATTAATTTTTATTTTTGTTTACAAAAAATAGCATTATATCTGATTATTTAACACTTTGTATTTTTTTATTTTTAAATATTATATGTAATATTTATATATAATATTATTTAACACTTATTATAAAACACGTGGTATTTTTAAATATTATATGTAATATTTATATATAATATTATTTAACACTTATTATAAAACACTTTGTGTTTTTAAATATTATATGTAATATTTATATATTATATTATTTAACACTTATTATTAAACACTTTGTGTTTTTAAATATTATATGTAATATTTATATATTATATTATTTAACACTTATTATTAAACACTTTGTGTTTTTAAATATTATATGTAATATTTATATATTATATTATTTAACACTTATTATTAAACACTTTGTGTTTTTAAATATTATATGTAATATTTATATATTATATGTTGAATATAATATCATGTATTTAATTGGAAATTTGTATTTAAATATATTTAATTTAAATATATATCTTTTATAACTTTTTGTGACTATTAGTATTTATTAATATTATATCTTTTTAAATATATATATATATATATATATATATATGTATATATATATATATATATATATATATATATATATATATATATATATATATATATATATATATATATATATATATATATATTATATATATATATATATATATATATATATATATATATATATATATATATATATATATATATATATATATATATATATATATATATATATTACTATATGTTCTTTATTCACTGTATGTATTTTTAAATATTATATCTTCTTTTTGGACTAAATGAGGGTGTTTTTACTTTTAATTGATACATCTTCTTTTTTCTCTATTTTTATTCTTAAATATTATATCTTCTTTTAAAACTATATCTTTTTTTTTCCTAAATTTTCTACTTGATTTATTCACCATATATTACCATATATTATTGTTATGATCTGTAGGGGCTCTATGAAAAGATTAGGTTGGTATTTTGCCATCCATATATTCTTTGAGCCTCTGACTGTTTATTACTTGTACATTTGTAACTATATTTTATTTTTGGTGAAAGGAATTTGTAATTTATATAAACAGCAAAAAAAAATTAAAAAAAAATAAAATAAAATAAAATGCAATTCTACAAATCGGAATTATCGTACTGCGTTGTGCCAACATTTGGCCAATGTAGTTTAGGCTAAATATTTTGCTATAAAAAATCTGTTTTTACATTTATACCGTAGCCAATAATCGTCCAATGTAGTTGTGGATTCGTATATTTTAAAATTTGTTGCAAAATTAGAATTAACCATTTTTATCTTCTATCTGTTACAATCATATCATAATTAAAAAAAACAATCTTGAAAATAATTATCTTTAACACAACAAATTTAATACTACAAATTTAAATTAAGAAAATTTTAATACAATCTTTGATACAACAAAATTAAATTAAGAAACATTTTAATAACATTTAAGTACCTTAATATTTAGTACGTAAATTTTAGGATTTTGATATATTTATGGAGATATTGCATATATACTGAGACATTGTATATTACATATGGCGATTTAAAAAGCTGCTTAAAATTTTAAACCGTTTAAACAATTGCGCAATTGACATAAGATATGTTTTGTAAAAAGGATAACACGTCTTATCTTAAAAAATCTTAAACAAAGAGTTTCCGAAAAACAATTGGTAACTGACATTTTGTCTCGGTTAGTTCAAAACTTTATTGATTACAATAACAAATATTGACGCACCTCATTAGTATTGACCTATTTTCCTTCATACTTGACATTTGTTCAAAGAAAGTTTCAATATAAGATAAAAATAAGTTTGCAACTGGAAAGTTGAAAAATCAGTAATAGCTATACAACTTTAAAACTATTTTTTTTATGCAAAAGTAAAAATTAACTTTTTATTCTTCTATTAACAACAGGTATTTTATTTTATTTATGTTATTACAAAGTATTTTATTAATAAACTCAAAAAGTTTTAGTTATTTGTCATAAAAAAGATACAATGAAACAGAAAGTACAATTTAACAGATAATCTAAAGAAATTGTTATTTTGAATTTGCAGTTAGATATCTTATGATATGATTTTACATACAAACATAAGTGAACGATCAAACACTTTTTTTAAGCCTGTTTTTAGAAAACATAGAAAATATGAAACTTAAAAAAAATATTACAAATCTCAATACAATCTTGATTTACGAAGTAATAAAACATCGCAATGAGCTCTAAAAATATGTATTAAATGAGCACAATAGCTCTAAACAGTGTTTTTCTGTCAAGCTTAACTCTCTCACAAAAAATATAAAATACGTTTTCTGGCTCGAAATGCTTTAAATTAAGGATTAAATTTACACTAAAACCTGAAGACAAAAACTCTGTTTCTTATTATAAAAAGATTGTATTTCAGGCATTCCTGTTCGCAAAAACATTTGCTTGTGTTAGACTCGTTATTTACTGTCTTTAAGAAAGATCAATGGCATAAACGTTTGCCAAAAGTTTAATGGATAACAAACGTCACAAGAACTTTATCACAGTATTGTCAACAGTGACAAATAATGACACCTATTAGTACAAACAACTTAGAACCCAGATAATCATAACTTTAAGACAAGGCTTAACATTTACTTCACGTTTTTAATAGTAAAGTAAATGTTAAGCCTAAATACATATTTTCTTTAATAATAAGATTTACTTATTGACTAGGCCCAAACCAAAAAACTTTAAGTTTTAAAAGTATATGTTTTTTTGAGATATTGACTACATTGGTTTTTTTACTTCATTTTCTAGACTTAGATACTTTTAGCACCGAAATCTATATAAAAAATGCTTACCAAAGACAACTATGAAAGTTTATTATTTGTATTAGGATAATATCAAAAATGCTAGGAACTAGTTTAAGAAGTCTTTAGGTATGGTAATGAAAAAATATAAACTTTTCTAAACATAGAAACATAGTAATAGTAATAACTTCATATAACAATATTTTTGAAAATATATAAAGCCTAATGCTTGTATGGATTTTAAAAAATAAATAAATCAGCCTTTTTATACAAATTGAAAAGTGGTACACAAAATTTGCAATGTTGATAACCTTTTAACATCCAAACTTGTTTTGGATGTTAATTTTGAATTAAATTGATTAAAATCATCATAAAATAATTTTTAAGTCCTTTTAATTACTACGCTTATTAAATTAATAATTGTTTTACTTTTATAGTAAATATTTACATAAATCCTTTACACTTAATGGGCTGTTTCTCTCTTTATAGGTTCTAAAACTTGATTTTAACATCAAACAACAAAAGGAAATAAATGGATTATCAAAATAAGATTAAAAAAAGAAACAGAGACATTTTGAATGACACTGCGTCTATAGATGTTATTGATGGACCTCCAAAAAAGCCTAAAATGCATGAGGATGGGGCTTCCATATCAAATCAAAAAAATTTGATTCAAATCAACGAAAGTTGTTCAAGTACCCAAATCAGTTCGGAAAATATAATAAGGAAAGAAGAGAAAGTTTTAGTCAGGAATGACGAGGAAGGTATAGAATTTTCGCACATAAGATATTTTCCTAAAAAGCCAACAAGAGATTTATCGAAGGTTGATTTCAAGTTTAACTCTAATAACTTTTATGATACTAACACTTTTCCAAGAGGAACTTTAACAATAATAAATGTAAACAACTTTATGAAATCTTCTGGTGTGCATAAAGACTCTAGATTAGGTACAGAGGATGATGCAGAGATTCTATGTAATCTTTTCCTAGAATTAGGTTTTAAAATAGATAAAATTAACAATCCCAAGTCAACTGATGTATTAAAAATACTGAAGCAGGCAGCAAATGAAGATTATTCTTCAATGAGTTGTTGTGTGGTCGCATTACTATCATATGGAGAAGAGGGCAAAATTATTTGCACAAACGAATCTTTAAATATAAGGGAAATAACAAATCTATTCTGCACCAAAGCTTTAGCAGGAAAACCAAAATTTTTTTTAGTTGAAAGTTGTCTAGGAAAAAATTACATAGAATCATTAGACAGTGTTGATGGCCGTGCATTATCAAATAGTGCAAATCTTGGATTACCACATAATGCAAATGTTCTAAAACTGCCTGAAGAAAGCGATTTTTTGTATGCCTATTCAACAGTTCTAGGTTCTTTTTCAAACAAAGAAATTGGTTCGTGGTTTATCAAAGCTGTTGTTTCTGTTTTTTGTGAATACGCCCATAAAATGGACGTTGTTCAACTTTTAACACGTGTGAACGATAAAGTAAGCGAAAAAAGGTCGGAAACCATAGATAAAGCAACAAACAATAAAAAACAAATCGGCTTAATAATCTCTCAATTGCGAAAGGAGTTATTTTTACCACCAATTTATGGACCAATGGAAATCGTATAAAATTCATATTTTGTTGAAAACTAAAATATATTACTAATATTCAAATTTGAGGTTTTTCTCAAACTTATGTATAAATCAGGGTGCTTGCTAGCATCTTTACGTGCACAAGATATGTATAAATCAGGGGACTTATTCTCGTGGACTTATTTGAGTTTAGACCATTGGGTGGGGAGAGGGGGGTGGAAACTTTTTTCTTCCATTTTAACAAAAATAATTTACAGTAAATTACCTATAGATCTGTCATTCGCATTTTGCGTGAATAAATAAAAATAAATGTATATAATTGAACTGAATTAAATATATTTCTAAAAAACATATATATATATATATATATATATATATATATATATATATATATATATATATATATATATATATATATATATATATATATATATATATATATATATATATATATATATATATATATATATACATATATATATATATATATATATGCAAATTAAAAAGCGGCTATTTCCTGAGATCAGATCCCTATTTTGATTGGACGAAAAATTTGACTAGCGCTAGGTCTGAAAAATTGTTTCTCGTTAGCCGGATATATTTTAACTTGCTTAATATAAAACATATATGCCTATTATATATGTTCTATTTACGCAAATATTTACCAGCAAACCACGCTGCAATTTTTTTATATTGATTTTTCACAGAATCGTTGCTAAAGGTAAAAATTTTTCACATAAATCGTTGCTAAAGGTAAAAATTACGGAAAAAAACACATACTGAAACTTTTTAGTCTTCCTCTTGGTAATTTTTTTTAAGGTGCGATTTTACTGGAAAGAGTACTTGTGGTTCGAATTTTAAATTTTTTGTGTAATGGCAAAAAGTTACGCTAGCGTGTTGGCACCTGGATCCAGTTCAGATCTTGGTAAAGTGAATCTTGGCGTGTTTAAACCAACATCATTGGACGATACTTATCCTGTCTTAGTTTGTAGATATGGCGATCTACACTGTAGTGTCGAAGATTTCTTAGAAGTTCTGGCAAAAAAAAACCTCTTGTGTTACGTCTGGGGTGTTACTAGACATTACGCTAACCGCTTCTTTGAGTTTGTCGTTAATAACCCAAGCAAAGTAAATATTTTTCTTGAAACAGAAATTGTTATAAAGGATGTATCTCTAGCAATTACCCAGAAATTTATTAGAAATGTACACGTATTAGTGCAAAACATTCCTATCGGCCTACTAGTCAACAGAGGTTCAACACCATTAACCACACTAGGAAAATATCTAGCCGCAGGGAGAGGTGAGTTTGATTCGTTCAGTTGTCAAAAGGTTAACATACATGGTGAAACCATATATACCGGAAATGTCATCATTGTTATAAGAAACTGGCAGAATCCCCATCTTAATCCCTTACCAAGGTACCAAAACATAGACGGTTACACATTGCGATACAAACACAACGGGCAACCTCAAACATCGCCAAAAGTTGAAACTCTAACCAAACAGTCAAACTTCAAAGCTTCAGTAAAAAGCTCAACTGAAACAAACACAGCTTTAAACAAAGAACAGCCGTCGCCAAGTACTCAAATCGAAATTGTGGAGAATAACGTGGATGGTAACGAAATTATAAATGATACTGAGAAGAAACCAAGAGAGTCTCCCAAAGAAACAAATATATCGAATAGGAAAAGAACAAAGAACAAATCAGAGTATTCTTTTAAAATTAAAAAAAGCAGCAGTGAAGTGCAAAGCGAAACAGATACTGAAGAGATAAATACCGTGAAGCTGTCGGAAAAAGAAAAAATGGATACTGACCCGGTTATAGAAGATGAGCAAGATTTAAATTTCAATTTTGACGTTGACGAGGTTTTAAATTGTGCAGAGAAAATGTCGTAAGATTTCCTTTTTATTTTTATCTTTTTATTTATCTCTCAAATTTCTTTCCTCGTTTCTAAACTCTAAACCTTTTCTTTTTTGTTCTCAAATCTATAAAACTTTTTCGAGTCTTTTACGTTCTATTCTATTTAAATTTTTCTTTTTCGATCTTTTTAGTTCTATTCTATAAAAATGCATGTGAAAATTTTGTATAAGCGCTTAAGCTGTCGTAATCTGTATTGTTGTAGTTCGCGCTTTTGTGTGAAATGTTATGGTCCAGTGCGTTCATCTGTTCGTAATACGTCATTTAAATCGAAAACTCGTGCTTTAAGTTTAAGTCTTATATGTACGTGTTTTTTATATCAGGTTGTAAAATTATCATATATTTATGTTTAAGTTACACGAGTTTTCAAATTAGGAAAACTGATCCTCTCCATCATGACACTTAATGTTTTAACGTGCAACATAAACGGTCTTAACGACCAAGAAAAACGCGACAATTTTTTTGGGTTTCTAAAAAAATCCTCTTTTGATCTCATCCTCCTACAGGAAACACACTCTGGACCTTCCACTGTTAAACAGTGGGGAGACGAATGGACTGGCGAGTCCATTTGGAACTCCGGTCCGAGTCATAACAGTTGCGGGGTGGCGGTTCTCTCGACATCCAACATTTCTTTAAGCGAACTAAAAAGGGACATAAACGGAAGAATTTTAGATGTCATAATAAAAATTGACGAACACGAAATGCAGGTGCTGAATATTTACGCTCCTAATGTGCCGAAGGAAGGCGCCATTTCTTTGGCGACCTTGTTGATTTCTCGCAGGACTCAGGACTTCCCATCCTGTTGGCCGGAGATTTTAACATGGTCGAAAGCCTGCCTCTCGACACAGAAGGCACCAACAACGCTAAATATCACACCTACGGCGTGGGCGAACTCGGGGTATTCCAAGGTAAGTATAACCTGGTTGATGTTTTCCGTTTAAAATTCCCAAACAAAAGATAATTCACATGGCGAAATCAGAAGGCAAAATGTAGACTCGATCGAATCTACTGCCCTGAAAAAATCGCAAAAAAAATAACATATACTAAAATTCTCACCAACCCTTTCTCCGACCACGAGTTCGTAACAACAACCGTCAATTTCAGAAAAACCAGGAGAGGACTAGGATACTGGAAATTAAACTGTTCTCTTTTGGAAATAGAAGTGTATAGGCAAAAAATTGAACTCTCAATTAAAGATTGGCAAACTAAAAAACGGTCCTACAATTCAATTTTAAAATGGTGGGACGACTGCAAACTTTTTGTTAGGGTAGAATTACAACATTTATCTATTCAGGAAAGTGCAAAAAACAAAAAACAAATCAAAAGGATTGAAAACGAAATCCAACGGGAGCGACAAAACGCTAACCCGAATTTAGATAGCATCAAAGAAAAACGCAATGCTCTTTTCCTGCTCCAGTTTCCAGGAGCGTTTATTCGCACGAAACAAAAACTAATTGAAGAAGGAGAAAAATCTTCAAAATTTTTGTACAATTTGGAAAAAAGTCATTAGCAGAACAAGTCAATTACCGAAATTCGCAAGAACGACGGCACATTGACGAGTGAACCTGGTGAGATATTAAACTCCCTTGTTTCATATTACAAAAACATTTACACCAAAACAAATTTATGCAAAGACAGCCAAAACTATGTCTTGTCACACATCACTAAACATTTGAGTGATGATGAAAACCAATTTTTAAACACCCGTCTAACCGGCACGGAGTTAAAAGGAGCCCTTTTTAAATTTGAAAACGGAAAATCTCCGGGCTATAACAAACTTCCAGCTGAATTTTATAAAACCTTTTGGCACATTTTAGAAAAAGATTTTGAAGAGCTTGCTTACGAAATACTTTTTGTAGAAAAAAATACCAGCCACTCTATGAAAAAATCAATAATTTCACTAATCCCCAAGCAAGGAGATCTCACTGAATGTAAAAATTGGAGGCCCATATCCTTAATCGGCGCTGATTACAAAATAATCACAAAAGCGCTGGCCCTAAAACTTGCAAAAGTAATGGGGAAAATTATAGAACCAAATCAAACTTGCAGAATTCCAGGTAGAACAATTTTCTCAAATTTACATTTAGTCCGTGATCTAATAGATTACGCGGAATTTAAAAATCTACCTAGTTTCATTTTGTCAATAGATCAAGAAAAGGCGTTTGACAAAGTCGATTGCGCGTTTCAGCTGCAGATTCTCCAAAAATTCAATCTCGGAGAAAACTTTATATCCTTTATTAACACTCTATATTCAGAAATTTCGGCACCTATTCTGAATTGCGGCTTTTTGTCAGCCCCATTCTTTACTGAAAGGGGAGTCAGACAATGCGACCCCCTCTCTCTTTTGTTGTATGTCTTTGTCGCTGAAGCTCTCGTGATCAGAGCGGACAGCAGAATCGAGGGATTCCCATTACCAGGAACACCGAAACCCCTTAAAATACAGCAGTACGCAGACGATTCGAACTTTTTTGCCAGAGACGTAAAATCAGTCCGCTTTTTTTTCGAAAAAGTAAAATTGTTTGAAAAAGCAAGTGGTTCAGTGATCAATGCCTCAAAAACCAAGGGTCTTGCTCTTAAGGGTTTTGATCCCAAAATGTACCCGGAATTGGACAACATAGAGTGGACTAATAACACCGGTTTTAAAATTTTAGGTGTTACTTTTTACACCAGACTGAGTAATACTACCAATTTCAACTGGCTAGTAACTCTAAACAAAATAGAGAAAAAACTCAAATTTCTGGGACTACGTACTTTGTCACTTAGGGGAAAGACTACGTTGATAAATACGTTAGCATTGTCAAAAGTGTGGTTTATTACAAACGTGTTGCCCGTTCCCGAATGGGTAATAGAACGTTTGCACAGTGCCATTTTCGAAAATCTGTGGCAAAAGACCAATTTCAATCCGTTCAAAAGAGAGACGCTTTTCCTACCCGTCAAAAGCGGGGGTCTCGGAATTTTATCACCGAAGGAGCAAAGCCTTGCGCTCCGCCTCAAAACACTCTTTCAACTGAAAGAATGCGGAGAGGATAACACCCACGATAATTACTACTTTTCAAAGTACTGGTTAGCAAGCTCACTTATTAAATTTACAAACCAAAACCCAAGCTGGAACTTTTTGAAACAGAACAATTTTCCAAAACACTAAGACAACAAAATGTCTCAG